AGTTGTGAGGGAATAGCTATCCTTAAGGCCTTAGAATTAATACACAGTCAACCTAATACAGACAAATACATAATATACACTGATTCGAAATCATGTTTGACAGCGTTAAAAAACCTAAACAACTTAAATAATCTTATTTTAGAAATTAAACAAAAAATGGTAGATCTATTAAAAGATGGTTACAAATTTGAAATTATATGGATTCCAAGTCACCAAGGAATAGCCGGTAATGAAAAGGCTGACCAGGAAGCCAAAAATGCAACAAGTGATTTTGAAGAGGTACAGCTAATCATTTCCACTGCATCAGATGTTCAAAAACATCTCAAGTTCAAAATTAAAACTCTTTGGGATCATCACTGGAAATTTGAGAACACATCATTTTTATTTAAAATTAGAAATTCAATTTTTGATAAGCTTTCCTTTTCCTTAACTAAAAGAAAAGACCAAGTGGTTCTTACAAGATTGCGGATTGGACACACAAATTTAACTCACATACATCTTATTACCAAAACAGATAAAAACAAATGTAAGTGTGGTTTGGATCAAACTGTGGTACACTTGTTAATTGAATGTAAAGCATATGACATAGAAAGACAATTTTGTAAACTCCCTGATAATTTAACAGACTGTCTGACTCAAGATGGGTATAAGCAGACCCTTAGTTTTTTAAAGATCACTGGTTTGTATAATTTAGTATGATGTCGAAGTCAATGTAACTTAAAATGATACTGTAAACTGTGGTCGTTAATGACCCTAGTTGTTAAAAAGCGACCTTAAATAAATAAATAAAAAAAAAAAAAAAAAATGTGTTGATCGAATTACTACAACAATTATGTTAGTTTCTATTGCTAATTGCTAATTCTAATGCTAATTATCGACTCTAAATTGAAGACGAGATGTTCTTGGTTTTAAAACATGTCGTAATCATTTCGTATTTGTCAATGGATTTTGGGTAAAAATTCAAGAGGAATGTAGTTTTTCGGCCTTAAGCTTAAGCTGCCTACTTTATTAAGGTTAAATTGAGAAAAAATATTTGTCGAAACTAATCAATTATTTAATGATTCATATTTTTTTGTTACTAAAAATCGACGTACTCACGGCCCACTTGGTGTTCAGTGGTCACCAGGGCTATCAACTACGTCAAAAGCCCCACCCACCATGAGACATGAGTTTTAAGTCTTCGTTTTTATAGTACGGCTATACGGCTGCTTCACCTTTCGAACCGAAACGCATTATTGCTTCACGATAAAAATAGGCAAGGGGGTGGTACCTACCGGTGCGATCACAT